GAGAGGATCGTGTTAATTGGTGTTGGTGCCTTAAATCACATTGAAGGCTTTCAGCTTGTAAACAGATGGATCTGAAAATAGTCGGCCCAAAAGGGGTAGTTGGGACTGTGGTCAGTTGTCTTGCACTCCTCAGCGGACACAGGGGAGGGGTAAAGTTTGCTGATGTTAGAACAAAGGTTATACCCTCTATGCTGACGGTTGCACTGGGAGTAGTAAAAGTAAAACGACTGTTGGAGGTCAGTGGTCACCAGAGAGTGATGCATGGATCCCGGCCCAGAGATGGCTCTTCTCCAGTGGTCAAGGTCAGAGCCAGATGTCCTGGCCTGTGTACAGCCATGGACATGAAGTCTGTGTGTTCACATTAGGCTCGACTCTGTCTGTTTTTTAACCTCACGGCCATCAGACCCGACAAGTCATTAACAGTATGTTGTCAAGTTTTCTTAGATGAACTGGACCTGCAGTCTTGCACATAGACTGTCTAAAATAGATATTTAAGGTAAAGATCAAATTTGAACATGAATATGTACAAGATGTATTTCATACTGCTCACTGCTCATTAAAGTTTTACTCTCCTTTTAGTACAAGATGGGGGGCAGTCAAGATATTAATTGGGGTACAATTATTTAAGATGGTAAATCATCTGCATCATCTGGCCTGAGCAGTGGAAAAATGTTAAAAACTTTTTTTTTTCTCTTTGAACACAGACCTGTAACCCTGCTCTAGTTTACAATTTCTGGATAACAGTGCAATTTGTCAAGACCCTGGTAATCTGTCTTTGATCTTGTGGGCATAATATGCAGACAATAAAGAGGTAGCGCTCTCTCTAGTTGGATATTTTACTTTCAAACTAAAGAGTTATGAAGGCTACATAAGCACAGCCTCATTTTATTTCATTTATTTATTCATAAGGACAACGCACATTAATCAACATTTCTGTAAATTTGTCATTGTTGGCTGCCTGGCTAATTTTCAACTGCAGTCCTTTGGCGAGATGTTTCGAAACTAATGAGGTGATGGTTAAAACTTACAGACAAGACAGCCACAGCAACACAATAAACATTCTCAAGACACAAGACACGCAGAGCAACAGGAAACAGCAAAACATTAGTACCATGTAACCATGCAAGCAACACAAAACTTAGCTGAATACTCTCTGCTCCACACTTCAACAAGAATGCATTTTTTTACGAAGACTTAGAGTGTATGGAGTCAAACTAAAATTTATGTTGTTGTTTTATCATGCAATACTAGAGAGTATTCTAAGATATGGTATCACAGCCTGGTATGGTAACCTGACAGTACAGTCCAAATCACAGATCGCATGTCAGGTACAGACAGTTATGAAGATTATGGGGGTCACCATCTGCCCCTCCAGACAATTTATGAGCAGTCGGTTATCAGACAGGCACAAAAAATAGTTTCCGATTTCAGAATTTCAGCTTTTACCCTCTGGAAGAAGATTCAGGGTTCCTAAATGCAGGCTAAACAGACATAAACACTCATTTGTGCCTATGTCCATTAAGCTTATCAACACTAACATGTAGGCCAGCTGGGTTGTGCACTATGTAACTGTGCAATAAGTAGGCTATTGGGTTTATGCAGTATGTTAGTGATGCAATACATGGGTTGTTAGATTGTTCAATATGTCATTGTGTATTGCATAGTTTTTTTGAAATGTGTCATTTGTGAAAAATGTAGGCTATGTAGGGATGTGCGATATCCCATTGTGCAAGGGTTGTGCTACTTTTGTGGGGAATGCTGCCGACAGGGATGTTCAATCAAAACTGCCCTTGGAGGAAGGAGTTAATGTGCTTACTATATTGGTACCTGTCTAATGTATATGAAAGCATGTGTTGTGTTGCATGAGAGTATGTGTTGAGAGATGTTTATTTCTGTATTTTGTTGTCTTTGTAAAGCTGCAGAATGGACAGAGTCCAAAACAAATTTCCCTTCAGGGACAAAAAAGTACATCTTATCATATCTTATCTTAAAACAACAAAACCCAGTCAAGTAATGCTGATTCTAACTGTTTTTGACACATGCAGACATGTAGAGCAGCAAAAAGCATGCAACTTTATTGATGTAACATGCATCATGTGGTGATGTATGCTACCATTGTTAAGTTAGACATATTTTAAGGTATATAAAATGTTATGCTATATATGTATTTATTCAATAATACAGCAAATTAGGTCAAACATGTTAATTTTCATGTTTGAATTTATTATTTTTCTCTTGCATAAAAAAATCCAGGAATATGCATTTGCTTAACTTATTTAATTACTAGACACAAGACATCTCCCACTTCACTGAAAAGCACATTTTAGTGTCTACATCCTTCTGCATAGTGAAGCAAGTTAAGTAAGCGAAAACATTATTATTATTATTATTATTATTAGGGGGACTTTAGATCTGTTTTATTATGCTTAATCTCCAATCTCATGAGTGAATGAGGATCCTTTCACGCAGGATTTCCATAAGTTTGATACAGCAGAGAGCTTGAAGGAAAACCCCAGATTTTAACACAGAACATCAGATGATGAGGATTTTTCCTGATTTGATTAAACAACACACTGTTCTTAGCACTAACTACTGAGCAACAATGCTGCCGTCTAGAGCTATTGGCTTAAATAAGATTCATAAACATTGAAACAATGCTAACAACATGGGAAATACACCAACATATTTGAGTGGCCATAATAAACCACAGAACCATATTACAATAATCCATGTTGAGGAGTGGACTATAGGACAACCAGTTGGTATTCTGACTCATAAATTGGTCATCATAGAAATAAGTAATGGAGGCAAGAAATAATAGTATGAAAAACCTCCCTATTTTATAAATGATCTATGCTAATCTAGGGTAAGGTGAATTCAGCTGTGGGAAGTACAGTCAATATCTTTCAACTTTCATGCAAAGCGGCTTTCGTGTTTTAGTAGCTAGCGTGAGGCAGCATTTTAATCTCCTGCCTCGTTATTGCTTCCTTTAGGTTTCTCTTTCCCTGCTTTTTCTCTGGTTCTTTTCAAGGAATCGATTTTTGCTTTGCAGGTATAATTTCACCGTTTTCAATTTCAAGTGGATTCTGCATTCACATTGTTGAATATAAATCCTCCTCGGTTGGTGGTATAATAAACAACAACTCCTCCGTTCCCCCTCTCTCTATATAACGAGAAGAAGGGGCTAAACAGATCGGTGGTGTCTTGGCACATCACATCACTCAGTAGAACTGATTAAACACATCTCCGCACGCCTAGTCATAATTTGCCTCTTAACGAGGACTTCCTGCATAGTTATGGTGTTGCGCCTAAAACACAGCTGAATGTAAACATGATTAATGATGTGAAATGCATGTTTAGCCCAAGACGGAGGGAGAAAAAGCAAGACAGAGGGAGTACAGTGGATGATGGACCAACATGTGGTAATTAGTGGATAAGGTAAACAGCCATAGGGAAAGCCAAAGGGCAGGTTCACAGTCTGTTAGTGGATGCTCTCATTCTGCCGTTGAGTATCCTCAGGGCTCATGGAGGGAAAAGTGAAGGAGGAAGCCAGGAAAAGCAGCCAAGTTCACCGAACAGCAGTGGGGTGTTACTCTGTGACCAGTCTTTTTCTGGTATATATGTTTGTGTGTGTCCATTCACACAGAACCGTAGCACGCTCTGTACTGTGAGGAACTGCACTTTAACCGTCTTCTTTCATCAGTTGGAGTTGCTCATACTCACAATTGATTGGTGGTTGGCCTGTAACCTTGGCAACACAGGCTGGAGGGGAAAGAAATATTTTTCCAAATGGTTCCAAAAATGGGTCTGGAAAATGAAATGATTCTGGTTTAACTCATTGTATTCACTCGGTCATTTGACCTTCACATCCACTTTATGTCAACGTGATAAAAGGAAAGTTGGTCTTTGGGGATATAAACTGCAAATTTTAAGGCAACATACTACGTGCTGAAAAAAATTGTGCTCGGGGAAAAGATGACTTCTCATCTAAAAAACTGCTTTGAACTTTTAACGTCTGCTGTCAGAAACATCATACAGAGGACTGCAAAGAAGCTCTTCACACATCATGGTTAATAAATGAATCAGAACTTGACTTTGAGAAAATGGTTTAGATTTGTGTGCTATGATTTCATTCAAAGAGAGATTTCCACTGCGAGACGTCTGGATTTAACAAAAAGATAAAAATATACGGGCTGTGGTAAATTAATAAGTAAATTTCATGTGCACATGACTTATGGAAGATTTATTCTTATGCACATCATGAAAGGTGTTTTTGGGTATCGTCTAACACATAAAAATGTTTTGTTTAGTTTCTTTTTTTTTTACAAACACTTATACACTTACACACGCACACACACAAACTGCACACCCAGAAACATGTGTAGATGAAGAGGAAGGGAGGGAGGGAGATCTTGATGAGAACATATTTGTTTTTGTCAGATAGCTGGAGGAAGAATTCAGTCGATGTTAATGAGAGGCAATTAGTTTTGATTAAAAATGAGATTGCTCCCTTACATGCAATGTAGCTATATCCAAACAAAAGAATGATTAATTTCTGTTGGTATAAGACATTATTGTCAACAACAAAAGTACCCATGCAGCAACGATACAATTGCTCTGAGGCCGAAGAAGAGGAAAAACATTAATCTAGAGTCTCGACTGGGTGTTCCTCTGGCGTTGCTTCTTACAATAAAATGTGTGGGTGCTTGTGTTCGTGTGCACAAGTGTGTCTATCTGTGTGGGGTATCTACATTTTAAACTCAGGTTACTCCCTTAACTTTTAATTTTATGTTATCATTATGTAATTTCTTTGTAATGTTCATTTAAGATAAATTTGTAATTATACCCCTTAACATTTTTTTTCTGCTGAATTAGCTACTTTTCATTACATTCTTCTACGTTTTCTTTTCTGTTTATATTCTCTCTATGTTGTGTGCATACATGTCTCTGCATGATAAACTAACCTGCTTTGTTACGGTATCTGTGCTAACCTTCCCCAGCGTCCATTGTAATCGGGAAATGGTGGTGTGAGATGGAACCATGTCTGGAGGGAGAAGAGTGTAAGACTCTGCCTGACAACTCTGGATGGATGTGCTCCTCTGGGAACAAAATCAAGACCACAAGAGTGAGCACTCACACGCATTCACACACCCTTGAGCACAAATGCATCTACCTGCATGTACAGACCTACACTTGCAATGATGCACGCGTACATGTACAATACATGCATATGCCTGTAGTGTATGTACTGTATATGCATATTTAACCCAGACGTACATACACTTGCCCACATATCCACTGAAAAAAGAAAATTCACACAGTATTTGACCAAATGCCTGTCAGATTTCACTTTACTATTCAACCTGTCATCTTGACCTTCAAATGAGGAAAAACTTAAAATACCAGGAAGCTATGTTTGAATACTTTGATTTAGTACTTTAACAAAGCTTCTCTTTCAACTGCCGCTTCATTTTTAATCATCTGTCATTTAGCAATTATGCAGTGTCAAACCTGCGGCTAAAAGGGATGTGCACAAATTCCACTGTATGAGACTACTGAGAAAAGCACAGCACATGTGTGCCCTTTGTATAACATGGTGGATTCTGTTCGGTGTAAGCAACCTATCTAAAGGCCCATAGTAGTAAAGAACAAACATAAAGCAGGCAGTAAACAAACAGGTGGGCTCTGCCTCAGGCCACACTCCTCTCAGAGATACAGTTAACGGCCGCTCTGCTTCTCCACTGCCTTTCAGCTCTGTAAACTGATGCGGCATGCAAAAATAATGAGGAGAGTTAAGTCCTCGAAGCCAGTAGTCCAGCACTCCGTGACAGGTTGATCACCCGATTTGTATTCATTTAATTCACTCGTCCCCCCACCTGCTCGCGATCAGCAAACCCTGTCTTTTCTTAGTGCTTGGTGACAATGACTTTGAATAGAAGCAGAGACTAATGTGATGGTCGGTAAAGAGGGAACAGCCAGTGAAGGTTAGACCACACGGGGCTTCCCAAGGTTGTTCTGCAGATGTATATGCCAGCAGATAGACATAAAGCTTTCAGTGGGCTCCGTCACAGCCTCCACAGGCCCAAAATTCTCAGAAAGAAGGTGATCGAATGGGGTCTTACCATCCTGTCAAGGTAAGGTGTAGTATTTGGTTCACTCTAAAGAATGCATCTCTAATTCTCAATTCAGTCCTTTGCACAATTTGACTTAAGTAAATTTGAAATCACGATTGTCTTTATATAACTTGGGACAAATTATTTTCTTTATTCTCTTAAGATACATTAATCAAGATGGTACATGTCTGCACACAAATGGAGTCTAATATCATCAAAACCTTAAGAGGAGAGGGCCAAAAGGTCAGGCCTGAAGCTGCTTTTCTACCCAATACACACATGTCCTTTTTTCTTGACCCTCTCTTTACAGAACACCCAGCCATACTCCCCTTTTTAGCTTCCGGAAGCAAAATGCAGAGGATGCATCAACAGAAATTGAGCTGCATTCTTGCTTCTGTAAAGGTTAGTCTTTTTCTCAAGCTGTTCTTTGTTTTTGTTTTCCCGTCTCTCTCCCATCACTGTAATGCACTTGAGTGTCGGGCGGTAGGAGTGGGACCAACTCATGTTCAATGACTTCTCATTAACCTAAATACTCAGTGCGAAATAATCAAGTGTGTGTTTACATGCTGTGCATGATTAGGCAGGCGTGACACAAATACTGAACGCACCACCACCCACTGTAAATATTTATCACCTAGCACAAGCAGTGCATGCATACATAAAAAGTAAGTTGCTGCCTTTTTATATAAACAGTGGCACATACAGCACTAAAATATATTAAGTGGTATGTTGATAACAGGTCCACCCCTTAGCAGACCCCTGCTGTCTGTGAACAGCGTGTAATGGCAGGATCAGTCCCTCTTCCTTTCATTGCTCTTTGTTCCATGTCCTGTTTTTGCTATCGGCCACTGTGTGGGTTTGATTACAGTGCCTTACACCGGTCTGCCAATCCCATTAGTCACTAATCTGTGACATGCTACTTGCTTCTCTGTGTGTGTGCTCTTGGTTGTGTATGAACGCACATGTTTGATGTCTTTGATATGTCTGTGTTTGTGTGTACGCTCACATGTGTGCGCGAGAACCCCGGGCAGGCCTCTTCCCTTTCTGTTGTGTGGCTTCTTATCAGAGGGCACTCGATATCCTGATCCCCCTCTGAGGGTCTTGCTGAAGCAGCTATCTGCACACAGCATAGCCCACAGGCTACATGAAAGGCCTTTTATCCTGCACTCTGCTCTCCTTTTTAATCAACATTCCTCATTCACTTGCCTCTCAGGCCAAATTGCCTCATTTGTATTTGTTCCGTCACAAGCCAGCAAACCCACAATGCAGCATTGTTTTTTTTTAATTCTCATTCTCACTCTCTTTATTTCACCTGCAGGTTTTCATTTTGCTCTGAAAAGTGTCAGTGAAGCACAATGAGGCAGGCACACACACATATGTTGTTCACCCGCACACAGACATCACTATCTTTCATAAAAATTGGCATGAAAATCAAGAAGCCAAGCAAAGCCGGTGCCTGACACCCATGTTTCTTTCTTTATGTCTTTCAGAGAGGGAGCCCTTCATTGCCTGTTCTGTAGCAGCAGACAAGGCAGGCCCTTTTGTTTGTGGAAGTCACAGTGAGAGCGAAGCTGGGGAGCACCTTCCAAAACACTCGCCCACCATAGATCTGCATTACCCGCTCCACTCGCTAAATAGATCAGTCCATTTCTGCTCCCTTCAAACAATTATACACCTTAAGAGAGACAGGCAGAATGAGAGGGGTTGTAATGAAAACATATTTTCTCCCACTCGTTCTTCTCCCCTGCTTTTGATGATGGTGAAAAGAATTACATTCATTCGATAAACTCACTGTTAGTGCGCTATACTGAATATGAATTTGTCATCAGTATCAAGGCAGGAATGCTATACATACAAAATACAACCCTCATCAGGCATTCAATGAATTTTAATAGATTTTTTAGTTATTTCACACTACAACATAACTACTCATGTACAGTAGTTGTTTTAAGTGTAGAAGGCCACAGCGTTTCCACTATGGAGTATGTAATTATTCAGATGAGAAAGCATTGAGCTCAAGTGGATATACCAACATCTTTCACACATAGACATGTCCCTTATTAAAAGGAGCAGAGGGCACTTTTTCAAGCAAAATAACACACTGTGACAGGATGCAGCCCAACAGTTTCAAACCAAAAGTGACCTGCCAGCAGATGCATCACCATTTAATTTGTCAAATCGGGAGACCACACTCTGCAGTTGATCAAAATGAACTCCAAGCGGCCATGCCACATACAGAGAAATCGTCTGTTCCACCTCTGTGCTTGACAACACGTTTCCTCCTCCATCAGTCCTGTATAATGTCATCACGAAGACAAACACAAAAGCATGCACAAATGGTAAACAATGTGGCGGTTAAGAGAAATAGATTTTATAAGCTGACAGATGCAGTCCAAGCTGCCAAGAATGGACGGAGTGTCTTCTTTATGACATTTTTATACAGCTTTAGGGTGGAGGAGTTCATTGCAAGTGCTACTGATTAATTCATACCCATTTTCTTTGCTTTTTTCATTGTCAATGTCACATTAAATGGATCTTGATGTATTTTGTTGTCTGGAGTCTTCTGTTTTTAGAAGGTGATCTTTAGTGCTGTTTGAAGAGGTTTCTCAGCTGGCATGATTGATTTGTTCAGCACTAAATGAGAAAGGGGGTAAGGGTAGGCTGTGTTTGCATTCAATTCTTTTGCTAAGGCAATTGTCCTTGGCTCCTTTTACTAACTGAAGTCTGAGTAAATTGCAATTTAATGCGGCCAGCAAATTAGAATGCAGACAGCTTAGTTGCCAGCAAAGATGGGATAGGCAGGAAATCCTTGAGCGATCCTCTGCTACCTGCTGCACTGTTCATTTGAAGAGGCAGAGGACAAAAAAGAACAGAGGGCACTTTTAGTCACACACATATACATGTGGGTTGAAATGACAGCATTTGCATACAGCCGCTGTTCTCCCACTAACAAATCTCTGGTGGATTGGGCCTGAGAAAGAGAGTGAGTCGTAAAGTGTAACCTGTTACTGCTCTTGTTCTGGCAGAGGTCATTCTCTGCTCCAGTATTTTGATATGCTGTCGTACATTAGATGATACAGATGCAAATGCTAGAAAGATAAGACAGGACTATTACTTTGTTTAAGGATCATGGGGAAAAACTACCAAATTTGTACAGAGAAAGACCCCGTCACAAGACCTGGAGGAGAAATCATCATGTTAAATCTGAGAACTATTTAGAGCACACAGAAATAAATAGGCATGATGTAGTCAGCAAGGGAGCATATGTCAAAAATATACATTTGTTATTTTAGTACCAGGAAATTCCTGGAAATCTGGGTCTTGATCTAGAATACCAATGATAATGGACAATTAGAGGGCACATTTCCCAGATTTTTTTAAGTAAACACAGAAGTTCATGTGAAAATTGTGAAAATGGTAAAACTTCCTGGATATACTCCTGGACTCAGCTCTGCACCTAAAAAGAATACTGTTCCTTGACCTATGACTTTACTCCTTTGCAAAGACATCAAATCTTTTTGAAATGTTTTAGCAGATTTTTGAGATACTAAGGGTCCTGCTAACTAACATACACTCTAACAGGACTGAATACATTTCCTCCGTGTGATGAATGACAAAAGGCAGAGCTGCACTTGACACTTGATTGAAGAAAATTCTTGAAAAAGTAGATTTTTATTGAAGGTAACCTATTATACTAATTTCCATCTCGATATTTCTAGTCTGGGAATCCTCTAGCGTAACTTTGCATGATTCACAGTTAAAAAAAATCCATATTTATCTTATACTGGCCCTTAATCCAACCCTCAGTTCATCCTCTGTCGGAAACAATCCGTTTCAGCTCCTATCTCTTTAAAGCAATTTGGCCCCGCCTAACATTCAGTGACAGCTGTACATGTGCATTTGTTATGACTACATTACTGATGACAACAACTAGCAAGTCATCAACTTTGCTAACACTATTATTATATATAGATATTTGCTCTCTCTTTTTCTCACTTCCAAGAACAACATCATCTTCGGTCTCTGCCATGATATCCATACTGAGAATACCAATTTCTTCCAAAGAACTATACATTCATTATGTTGTTCTTGCGATAGATTTCCTGCCTGGACTTTCAATGTTACACACAATACGGTAGGTGAATAGGGTAGGGCAGGTACACACAATTCTACTAACAGAAAATGGTAAATAAAATAATTAGGCTGTCTTGCTAGCACGTCTAACACATTGGTGCTCTGAGACTCACATGTACTACAGCTCACTGAGTCCCAAGCAGCACCCTCCCAAATCAAATCCACACACCTGGCTACCACCTGCCAAGCCTGCTGGAAATGTCATGGCTGTATTTTTTTAATTGAATAGGATTATGGGATTTCTAATTGGCCCCACAGTGTGCAGCGAACTTCAGGCTTTTTTCACTGTACAATCTTAAAGGAGACCTATTATCCTGCAATTCCAGTGCTATATTGTTGTTCTGTGACTTATGGCAGCTTTGCATGATTCAAAGTTCAAAAAAATAATTTTCTATCTTATACTGTCCCTTCATTTCTGCCTCTGTCCGAAACAAGCTGTAGATGCTCCTGTCTCTTTGAGGCCCCTACTGTCTTCTGATTGGCCAACACCTGAAGCATGTTATGTTACCAGGCTGTTGTTGCCAGTGAGTGATACAGACAGAATGAGCATTGTTGTGCGGAGTAAATGACCATATATGGACCTCTCCGTCTAGCTCCATGTGTCTAGAACGGAGCCGTTGGTAGAAAAAGCTGTTTAAAACAGTGTTTAGAACAGGAGGAAATCTGAGGTTTTGGCCCACAGGGATTTCTTTTAAATACTTTAACCTCATTATTTGAAGCTTTGGCCATGTTTAACACGAATATCCAACATTGTAACATTGTAAATAAGTCATAAAATGTGGAAAAGCATAATAGGTCTCCTTTAAAGCGGCAAATAACAAACATGTGATGTGATCTGGAAAACATTTACATGGTTTTTGCTAAATGGGAAAATAACTCAATTACTTTAAATGTTGTTAAATCATGCACATGGCTTTTATTGAGCTTCAGGTTGAGCAGGATGCTGAAAACAGATATTCAATAGCAGTCTCAGGGTTGCACAATGTGCTATTGAAATGTGTCCAGGTCTGCAACTGAGGCCGAATAAGAGTCCCTGAACCAGAGTCACGGAGAGACAGCTCAGACTCCACAGCGGGTGCCCGATCCCATTTAGCAGTGCCAAAATAATTTTATCAGGTTGGAGGAAAATCCTCAGCTGTGATTGGCTGGCTTTGGTATGAAAGCGCAAATGAGGGGTGATGGGCAAGCTGGGGGTGGAGGAGATGGGGCTAAAACAATCTGAGTTAGAGTCAAAAATGCGCCACTCCATTTATGAAGCAGACATACACAGCATGGAAACACACCAGGGTTTTTTTTTTGTACAAAGATCTTTTGTGATATATCCCAGTATACCTATAAATGCCGAACACTTCAGCGCTGCTTCTGCTCGTATAAGCTGTCTGTTTTTAGTAGCAGCAGGAACCAGGAGGTGAGAGCTGTGCAAAGCCTCCACAGTTCAAAAGACTCCCCCTTGTTTTCGAAACATGCAAACGGAGCAATTCCTTAGGGTCTAATCCTCGCACACTTGTATGCCTTTGTTCTATCTAAGTGTATGTGTGTTTTCTCTCCTCTCCTTTTCCTCCCCAGATTCATCCCAGGACCTAACAGAGAGCTCCCATTGCAGAGCTGCGTGCCAGGCTCTTCCCCTCTTCCCCCTTTCTCTTCCCACTGAACGGACAAAAACTATTACATCCGCAGCTACCGACTGGATTACCTGGGACCACAGAAAGGATATCCACCCAGATAAAACAGCTTTGCTCACGTGGTGCCAAGGATTTGAAACCAGACTAATCCCCTGTTTGATCAATGAGCCCCATGTTGGTGACTCTCCTCTTCCGCACAGCTGTGGCCAGTTTCCGACCTACTCTTTCTCTGTTTCCCTCAACCTGTTCCCCCCTCTAAAACTGAAACAGCTTAGAAGGGGTTATTTAGGGGTTGTTAACATTACTTGATAGATACTCGTTCCCACCGGAAGGTAAACCAGTTGAGGAGCTTACATGGACCTGAACATGAACACAGAACTGAGGGCGCAAGGAGGGAAATGACATTGCTACCCTTTTATTTCTGTGTGGAAGGCATTTGTATGTGACCCGCTACCCCAGCAGGACGGCCTTGGACTACATGGAGGAGATTTTGTTGAAAAAAGCTGGATTTTTTTAGTGAAGTAGACCACTTATACTGAGTTAATGAAAAATCTTTGAGAGGCTGTAGGGTCTGTCCTCACGGCCTCACCTTCCTCCTTTGTGATGGACATTTTGACTTTTATTCGAGGGCATGCCCGGTGTAAATTCATGAGCACTTCTTTTCTTTGTTATGTAAGATAATTTGTGTATATATACATATATAAATACATGACATATAAGGTGACAGATCCAAGAAGCTGAAAAACATATTTAGGACTCTAGTAGGAGCTTGAGCCCCATGGTGGAATATTGATCAGCCACTGACTACAGTAGTACAGTTTATCCAGAGGCTGATGTCCCAGTATGGTGTGTATAGCATTATATGCTTGCATTGGAAAAAGCCACAACAGAGTCATAAAAATAAGTATTGGTCACTTTTGTCATTCAGCAATGTCCTTGGTTAAGTCAGAAAATGCTTGTAAAAATGAGGAAAACACTGTATAGAACTGCCTCACAAAAGAAAGCAGCACTAACAACAACCCCTGAGCCTTCAACTCAGACACATTAGGGACATGAAACAGCAGCAGAAAAACTTGGACCATAATCGGACAGTTAGTGTCTATTTCTGTTGTGGACGGTGTTCACGGGCGACTGCTTGACTGTGTTTCTTGTGTAGATCACCCTCTCACACACCAGAGAGAGATGATTTATTCAAAAGAACAGTGAGAAAGTAGTAGTCACAATGGAGAAACATACAGTTATCCACCAGTAGATATAAGTACATTACAGGACAGCCTTATGAGAAATAAAAATGGTTTTCTATACTGATATGCTGTCTCCCCTTCATATTGTAACTGATATTTTGAAAAATGTTCCTCTGATGGCAATTTGATATGCAGTAATATGTGGGTGGAAGATCTAGTCAGAGTTTCATTTATATGATATGTTAACATTGTGAACAGAGTTTTTGCTTGAGTAAACAAGCAATCAACAAACAGCACAAGGCAATGTGAAAATGACTTACGGGCAGACAAACGCACACACATGCAGTGAACACACAAACGAATATGTGATGCTTCATTTATACAATTCCCTTGGTGGCAGAGAGGATTTATCAGAACAGCACATTCAATTCATTCATGCAATTAGAATAAAGATTTCCAATATTGCGCCAGGCAAAATTCCAGATGATTTTCAATATCAACCTCTCCTCTCGGCTGATATGAGATTCGGTTCTTCTCCCAGTGGATGCACCAGTGTACATTCATCATTTAGGAATTTGGCTAGTTTCATGGAGCCCGGCGCCTCGCTGAGCAGTCACAGAAGGTATGAAAACGACAGACACATCAATCTCCCAGTGGTCTTGCCAAAAATCATGAAGGAATATGCAAAAAGAGAGGGAGCAGGAGTGTGTTTTTTCCTCCTCAATGAGCCGTTCCCTTCTTTGTTTTCTCACATCTAATAGGATTCACTGTCCTGCAGTCTTATTGAGCTTGTGCAAAAGAAAATGAGTCAGGGAATGAGTTTGTGTGTCTGTAAGTGTCTCTGGATGCTTTTTTGTTGCTGTAAATGAATACATGGGAGTGTATGTGTGCATTAGTCTGTTTCACCATGCTTCTGTGTGTATTTTTAGAAAGGGTATCCAGAGTCTCTGAGACAGGCGTCCCGCAACGACATACTGTGAAGATTATCCTCAAATTCAGTGCTTGTGTAGAAAATCAAGGGATTTCTCCCTCGCTACTTATACAAGTTCTAAGTGGATTTTTGCTTAAAAGGTGCTTTGGGATCAGAAATGGAAGAGGTGCTTTTTCTTATTCTCTTTTATGCACTCCTTAGCTCTATCCTGAAATTATGGAGTCGTGCTGTGGAGGGAGGTCCTGCTCCATTTTAGGCAGAGCAGAAAGGAACACAGCATGAATAGATAACAGGGGCCGGGTCCTCTTCCCTCTCCACGGTGCTTTGCAAGCTCAAAAGAGAGACATCCATCAAGTTCTGCCGACCTCCCACCGAGACACAGAGACAGCCATGTCCACATCACGCTGGATGGCTAATCAACGGCTGACAGCAAGGACAACCTTTTTCATACAGCCGAGACGTGTGCAGAAGATGCTGGACAGTGTTGTTTGTAAAACTTGCATTAGCAACTTCCAAGGGTATCTCAAGTAAAACACAAACTTTTACCCTGCGTAGAAGTTAAATGCTCGGCTGCTTTTAGGAGCTTTTAGTAGGAGCTTCCACTTCTCTTTGACACGACTTCCTGTCTTTGCACTTTATAACATTCATATTCTTTAATCATTTTGCATAGCAACCTATAATTTGTGGAAAGGGCACGCTCCTTACCTGTGGGGGCTTTGCGGTCTATAATTATAGTCATTATGGCCATGAGTCACTGTGAATGTCGCCTCTACAATTAATATCCACTGGAGCTGGACAACTAAGAGCATCTCAAAATCATTAATGACACTAAAACTTGGTCTCAGTGATAGCTGTTCATTATTACCAGAGGCCCATTTGCCATGAAAAGTAATGATATCAGACAGTCTTACGTTAGATAAGATTCTTGATTAATCCTTAACACTGCATATAAGAAATGGGAAAATGACATGTCATTATACAGTTACAGCTAACAAACTAACTAGCTAATAAAGAAGCTGAGATCCTTTTCAAGACCACGTAGTCATCAAAAAGTTGAAATGAAGCAGCCTACAGTGACACTTTTTCTAAAGTCTGTAAACAGCAAACAACATTTAGTGAAACACACCAGTGCTCTTGCTGCAACGCCATTGTTTGTGACAAATGAATACACTCTGATGGGTACACAATACATCACTGTCACAGTCCCATGACACTGTGCCATGCCTGCCAACCACCAATACACTTGTCAGCGAAATGACTTGACAGTCTATGATTGTCAGCAGCTGCCATAATGACAATTTATTTTTCTGCTGCTTTACCGTTTTCCTCACCTTATTTTCCCTCATGTTTCAACCCGAAATGTAGCAACTTGGCCCCGTCACATGTCGTCACAGACCAGCCTCCCTGGGATATTTCAAACTTCACATTTTCCCATTAAAAAAAGAGAGCATCTTTCACAGCTCTCAATTGTTTGCCACTAGAGATTAAATGTCTGAGAGCTGGATTTGGAAAAGAGAGGGATCAGGTGGAGAAAAGGAGCTAATTCTTTGTTCCGAGCCTGAGCGGAATACGCAAGCACACTGTGTATATTTTTAACGCGTAGATTTAGTCTTATTCCACCCTCCAACTATCCATCTCACATATTATAGAAATGTGCTGTAGATGTCTACAGAAATGCACTGAAACTCTCATATTGTTTTTTTATGACCTTTTCATGGTGGCACACAGGGGATGCAGAAGCCTCTCTGGTCACCACAGACGGTGTGATCAGTCTGCTGTTGTCAGAATGGGACCATCACACAACAAGATCGGGACACACAGTAACCACTTACCTTGAAAACCAAGAAGTACATGCTTGTTTTTTTTTTCCCCAAATGTTGCACTGCATTACATCATTGGGTTTTCTTTTATTTTTATGGTCACTGGGTGTATTTATTTATTTGTTCGTTTGTCTATTTATCAATTAAATATTGTTCTTTCAACTTATCATTAATATTTTAATATTTTTTAAATGTTTAAAATATCATCTTGCTGCATAAAAAATGTCAATTTGGGAAAAAAAATTACTATCGGTATATTATTAGATTTGTAATGTGCACAGGTATGTGAAAAAAACTAAAATATGTCATGTTAATAATAACCAGGAAAAGATTGTACTTTGGCATTTTTTAGTGGACGTCAGATGAAATTTCTTGTTGTCTGTCCAAGTTTGTATTGAGAGTTCACAACAGCATCCTGGCCTTTAGGCTGCCTGCCAGAGACAAAGCACTGTGCTGTCAGTCCAAACCTGCCCACACACAGAGTATGCTGCAGTGAACTTATCTAAAGTTTTACAATGGAAAGAAAAAGTAGAGCCATTTGTCCTGCCTACACGATGACTTAAAAGTTTTGCCATGTCACCGGGCTCATTGAACACTTCTCTTTCACTCTCTGATAAGTGGCCTGTGTTTCTTAATCGATAGCCTATATTCTGAAACATTAGTGCAGTCAGGGGTGGCCTGAAGCATCTGAGGGCCAGTTTCAAGAGCTAATTTGCCCAATAGTAGTATTAATATTGTATTTTTCTATAGGGCATTCCAAAATATATAGAATAAACTATAGTAATATTAATATTTTTAGCGTTATTTCTATAGTAATTCTTTATAGTAATACTATAGGTTTTGTTTTTGTAAGGGCAGTCTCCCCTACACAGGGACACCAGCAGTCAGTCACAGTTGGGGGTGCTGAGAGAAGGTCAGGTCAGAATGACGTCTTAGTAAATAGTGCACAATATTCAATGTTTTCTTATTAATTTGAATGGACAGGATAACATATCAAATAGTTATTAATAACAATTTTTATCATTTTGAGAACATGTTACACACAGCAGACAGCAGACTTAAGCACCAACATACTGTTTTTCAAAGCAGCCACAGCAACTACACAGTCAACAACAGGAACGAATGCATAAGGACTGCAGGGAGATGAAGAGAGAGATGTGACCCACGTCCATTTATAATAATGCACAGTGAGGATACAGACGTTTCATAGAGGTCTGTCACTGTTAACAGAGACTCCATCTGCGGTGTAGTTAATATACCTCACTAATAAAGACTAACATTAGTTTTGTGATCAAAGAAAGTTTTTACATCCACACTTCTGTCCATATTTGCACGCCCCTTCTCTCTCACTCTTTTATTATTAATTGATGGTTTTTATAATGCTTAGTTTTAGAGGTGCTGAGGGGGTTGCAGCACCTCTTCTTCCCGTGTTGCTATTGAGTGAGTGAATTTAAGTGGGGAAATTATTTAATTCTTGCACATCAGTCGGTGCCCTTTGGAGGGCGGAGCTCATTTCAATTGAAACAGGTGAAACGTAGCTGAGGCTGCCTCCGAGTACAGTTTTAACCAATAATACTGTTTAAGAACACCCTGAAGTTGTTTCACAGTCTTTACATTGTAACAGGTTTTGCTGCAGTATACCAACATTTTATTTCATGTGACTGATGACTCTCATGTGACTAACCATACCAAGAAGTTCTGACCTACTTAAATAGGAAAGGAAAAAAACACTATCGAGCTCACTTAACTCCACAAAGGGAAAATGTAATGGATTTACACTCTCACCTTTTTCACACAAAAACTTTTAAGATGAATGTGTGTGTTCACTCATTACCCAGCTCTGTCTCGCCTACATTATACTCCCCACCCCTCAAGGACTTCTCACTAAAAGTCCTTTTCATTCTCGTGCCTTTGAAACTGAATCACAAACAGCAAGCATGAAACCATAGCCACAATAATTCCTGAAAACCTATAGAGTTTTGTTGTTAAAAACACTACAATCCCACCAAAAAACGAGTGAATAAAATACAAAAGAAATATAGAACAAAAAAACTGACACTGTTTTGAGACAACTCTGTGTAAAATTGGAATATTGTGACATTTATCATGTTGTTGGTTTTCTCTCTCATATCAGATACCACCTGAGAGGATTCGGATACATCAGCATTGATTATTTATAATGGCAGAGCAATAAACATAGCAATGGAGCACTCCTTTTATTCTGAAAAATCAGTGTTTTTTATTTATTTTACATATTTATAAATTCATTAACTGGCATATTAACACACTGATGCAGAGTTAGAATCAGCTCTCAGCAGAGTCTTTACTCTGGGTTAATGGTAAAGGGGATTGTCTAATGGCTGCAGGATGGAA